CCTCCCACCTCTCCCCTTCTTTCTCCAATACACGTCATTGCAGCATCATGTGGTGGAGCTGGACTCTGCATGAAGTGGAATAACATTTACATTTTTCTAAAAAAATATCTTCCAACATTTATTTCTAGATCTGCAGGGTGCAATAATCTTACTTGATTGTGAGATTAATGGAAATAACCACAACAATGGTCAGATTTTCTCCAAAATGGGTTCAGATCAGCCAAGAAGGTGAAGATAAGTTCAAGAGAGCACTGTGAAGGTATCACTACCAGGTGTTGCTGATGGGGTGTTTTGATCCCGGTGATTTTGTGGGATAAAAAGAAAAAGGAAGGGAATGGTCTCATTCCCTTGAATGCATTTCTCAGGTGTTCACCCACTACTCCTCTTTCCAAGTCACAGGTGCACTTGGGAGGGGCTGGGCCTCGCTGTGGTCTGGGGAGATGCTGAAGCTGAACTTCCCTTGGCCATGGTCATTCCTGGTAGTGGAGGTTGGGTGGGCTTCAGGAAGGGCAGGCTCCAGCTCCTGAACATGAACCTTGGATATTGTATTACTCAGGGTTCACTAGAGCAGGGGTCCCCAACCCTAGGTCACAGACTAATACCAGTTTGTGGCCTGTTAAGAACCAAGGCTGCACAGAAGGAACTGAAAAGTGACTGAAGCTTCATCTATTTTGACAGCTGCTCAACACTGCTCCAATCACCACCTGAGCTCTGCCTTCAGTTGAAGGCATCAGATTCTCACAGGAGCCACAAACCCCACTGCAGATGTCCATGCGAGGGACCCAGGTTGTGGGTTCCTTATGATTAATCAATGCCTGTTGGTCTGAGGTGGAGCTAAGGCAGCGATGCGAGCACTGGGCAGCTGCAGTGCAGATGAGCACAGCGGAGAGTTGTCTGCACAGAGACCAGACTCATATCAAACACTGCCAGTGAGTGGCGAGTGACAGTCCAGCCACACCTGGGGACAGGCTTGCCCTTATTGTATTTACCACTTCTATCTGCACTTCCTTCCCACACTGTGCACTTGCTTCAGTTTTGGTGAACCCACAAGCTAACTGTAAGCACACATGTGTAAAAAGCAAATGAGGTTAACCTGAGGCCCGAGGTCACCCTTTGATGAGCATTCACACAGGACACAAATGTCTTTATATTTCTGTGCATTCGGGGAGGTCTCTCCACACAGCTCCTCTCCAGATTTTTTCATCACCAATTTTCCACCATGTTCCTTCCAAATCTCCAGCTGTCTATGCAAACCACTGGCTACAATCAATGAGTCAGTGTGCAACTTCACACAAGCCATTTACCCTGTGGTGCTAAGGGCAAAGCCAGGTTCACTGTGAAGTTCTGTCTCCCAAGAGGGTCTCCCTTTACTATTTATTGTCCTTCAGATCTGTCCCCAAGGGGCTCCAGGGCTCCAGATATTCCTATGAGGGCACCGCATACCATGCAGAGCCATCTGTATACCAGGCCCAGGTTACCACTCCCTCCGTCCACAGACCAGAGGGAACTCCGCATGAAGCCATAGGTGCCGCTGGAAGAGAGGAGGTTCCCGGGATTCTAGGGTGCTGTGGGTCCTTGTAGAGTGAGATTCCTGTTGTCCTGAACAAAGCATTGCAAAAGACTGGTGGGAAAGGTAGTAAAGCTTTACATAAAGATGTTACCGATAAGAAAATTATGTGCTGCAGAGTGCAAAGCAGGTCAGAGAGTGAGAGACACAGAGAGAGACGTTAGTGGCTGTGTTGTTGCTTTTCTCTCACTGTGGGGAGACAAAACACCTGACACTCAAGGTTAGAGGAGAGGGGTTTATTTACCTCACAGTATGCAGAGGTTTTAGTCCGTGATCAGCTGGCTCCAAGGTGGGGTGGCAGAGGTGCGACAGAGTTCACAGTGTCGGCGGCAACAAAGGCAGTAAAAGCCTTTAACAGTGTCTTTCTGCCCCTTTTATCCTTCTCAGACTTCCAGGATTAGGGCGGTGTCAAACCAATCACTCATGAGTAGTGGTTTAGTAATCACACACCCTTAATCCCAGCATCACACAATTCCAAATTTAGCTGCCTTTGAAAAAGACCGCATGAGGCTGGGGAGGGGCATCTAAACACAAGCCACAGCATTTCATCCCTGAGCCCCAAAGACTCATGCACATCCATGTACGCAAAAGGTACTCAGTCCATCTCTAAGAACTGCCACAGTGCTAACAGTTCAGCACTGCTAAAAATCCAGGTCCCAAGTCTCTGAGATTTAAGGCAAACTCTCAGCTGCCAGCCCCTGTACAAATGAGAAGTCAAAGAGTTCCAACATTCCAGGGCACACGTTAGACATTTCCATTCCAAAGGGTAAAAACAGGGGTACAAAGGAGTGGGACCAAAGCAAGACCAAACTCCAGCAGGGCAGACTTTACATTCCACAGCTCCAAGTCCAGCACCCCTGAAAATCTGTGGCAATTTGTGAACCCCAAAGGGCTCAGTGGCCCCACCCCTATGCCCTGCAGATGGCTGTAGCTCCCGTGGTTTCTCTCAGAGGCCGGCTCTGCTTCCTCCTTGCAGTTTTCCTCAAACAATCCACCCTCCTGGCCTCTCTAAACTTCTGGGGAATCCAGTGCACCTCTTGCTTTGCACTCACAGCTGCACACACTGCCCTCTCGGGAGCACCCTGTCAGGCCTCCCAGACCTTCTTCTCAATTCTGCGTGGAAGCCTTCCTGATCCACAACTCTTGCATTCTGCATGCGCCTAAAACCAGCACCAAGTAGATGATGCCTAGGTTTGCTGCCAGCTGGAGCAGTAGCCCGACCTCCTTCTCTCTTGGCTGTAGTGGTCGAGTGCCTGGATCTCTGAGCTCTCTGAACCCAAGTCTGAGACAAACTCTTAGGCTGCTGCCATTCTTGGACATTATGCTCTGAGGCTTTCTGCTTAAAGCGAGGTCTTTCACTTTGACCAGGCTGCTACTTTGTTATGCCCTCGGGCCATCTCTTCTATTCTCGGATTCCTTCTCAGCAATTGAGATCTCCTCTGTTCTATCTTTGTAGTCCACAGCTGCACTGGAGTTTCCTTTCTGGCCAAACTCACATTTGAAATCATTGTTGGGCTCTTTGCTCCTGATTCTCAACATAGATTTGGCTAAAAGTCCTCAACAGTAGCCGTGCCATGGTCTCAACATTAGCCTGCCTTGAAATTTCTTTTGTGAGATCAATTAGTCTGCTGCCTTTAATCTTAGTCTCAGGCAAAAAAAAAAAAAAAAAAAAAAAATAAAAAAAAAAAAAAAAAAAAAAAAAAAAAAAAAAATCTTAGTCTCAGGCAGTCTCTGGACAGGAGCAAGATGCAGACAAACTTTCTGCCAAGCCATAATGCACATCCAACAGTTGATGCAGTCTTCTTCCTAGTAGAAAACACCCGAGTCTGGTCCTTACTGGCTTTCCCGTCTTCTGAGCCCAGACCAGAAGTTCTCAAACAGAACAGTCTAAGGCAGTCCAGGTCTTCTTCAGCCAGTGTCTCTGGATCTTTCCTAACTCTTCTCCTTCCCACAAGCCAGTTCTAGAGGCTCTTGAGTCACACGGCCAGGTTGTATCACAGCAGCAACCCCACACTTGGTTGCAAATTTATTGGAGCCAGGGCTTGCAAGGGACTAGATTTAATACAGAACACATAATTTATAGGATTTTTATAATAGTCACTCCAAAAGACCCAAGGAATCCGGCCAGGGATCTGGATCCCACAGCAGTGTCCTCCACAAGTCCAGCTGAAGGTCTAGAGCCCACGGCAATGTCTCAACCTTGTCCTTATTGAGAATCTGCACCCAGAAGGCCCAAAGGCCAGTGGTGGAAGCCAGAAAACCTGCAATGGTAGGATGAAGGATCTGTGCCACCAAGCTGAGCGATCTGTACTGGAGCCAGGAGGCAACACGCGAGGTGAGGATCAGAGCTCCCCTCACGAGAACAGCAGCTATTCCCAGCAACAGCAATGATTGGAGCTCCTCCTCCTCCAAGAACAGCCAAGTTCGCATCAGGAAAATCTTGCACAGAAAGCTTCTCCTAGAAAACCAATAGCCCATGATCTTCCCCTCCAGTTCTCTTTTTATGCCACTGGTAACAATCCTCAGGTGGGTCCTCCAGGACCAGACCGTGCTGATCCAGTTCGGTTAGGTGTTACAAGTTGACCGTTAGTTAACCCGCCACAACGGTCATGAGGTTAATGACCACCACCTTTAGTTTCCAACATTTTGACATCAGATCTAGGCTGTTAAAAACCTGCTTGAGGGCCAGGGATTTAGCTCAGTGGTGCTAAAAAACCCTGCTTTATATCATACCCGAAGAATTGAAGATAGTGTTTCCTCCTCTCCCCTCTTCTCTTTGGTACTGGGGATGGAATTCAGGATCTTGTGCCGGCACAGTGCCACCGAGCTAACTCCTCGATCTCAAGAGAGCATTTTCTGACTGGTCTCAGGTGAAGGGCCTGGGAATTATTTTTCTACACCTGTGTCCCGGATCTCCATGATTGGCAGGTTACGCCCCCCTGGCCCAGCCAGCTGGCCATGCCCTAATCTCGTGCCTCAGTGGGAATGGGGGCTAGGGCATTTGTAAGATCAGGACTACAGAGAAGAATGATCACAGAGCTCTTCAAGGATGATGGGGCTCCCCCACAAATTTATTTCCCGGAGTACTGGTGAAAGATACATCATCTGGACCTTGCAAGTGTAGGTGAAATAGGTCTTAAATGGCAACTCCACCCTAACATCCTAATCTCAAGTCTCTCAATCCCTTCTTCTGTGTTAAACCAATGCAGATGGAGCATTTGTAGTGTGCCT